CCGGAAAACCGTATTTACATACATTTACGTATTACATGTGCGTGTTACACATGCGCGTGGACATATATATATATATATATATAACGAAGACTCAAGGAAGAAACAACTCAAGACAATAACGCGAGAGGAAACTTCCGCCTCGTAATTCGTCCCTGAAGACAAACGTCACGTCCTTAATTTTTTTTGACACCAGTTAAAGGATTGCGAAACGGTCCCTCGATCATCGAGTCGACCACTGAAACACCGTGAACCGTATTTTGCTCGCTATACACATTTAAACGCGACCATTATTTCAGTACTCAAACGTGTCTACCTTTCTAGAGATGCTGATTTTCAGCTTTAATCCGATTCAATTCCATTCGCCCGAACAATATTAAGTATTGCAGGAAAGAAACAACCGCATTCTACATTGTAAAAGTTTTTTTTCGCCACGTATAACGTAATGAGAGTTGACTCACGCCATTGCCTTGCGTACTTGTGCAATCGGTGAAAACAAAGTTTACAAAATCACCCATGATTGGATCGAATGTCTGATCAATCGACATCGTGAACGACGGAGATTTTCTCGAAACTCAAGTAACAATTTAAAATAGCTTCATTATCGCATGATAACCTTTTGCTTAAGTACTGAAATCTTACACTGAACATTGAATAACATGTAAGCTCTTGTATTTTATGCGGAATAATTGAAACCGGTGCTTGTATACATTATATGTACGAAATAATTGAATTTGAATGTCCCATTAAATGCCAGAGTGCTTCGAAGAAAACCGGAGTGTTCGCGATAACGCTTTTTTCGTACATCGCGGAATTATCGGGACAAGAACATTTTCCCGGTAATTTTCCGGACGTTCTTTTTCTCTTCGTCGGAAACATATCCGCGTGACTGACGAATTCGCGGAATGTGCTCTTCCGTACTTTCCGAAGATCCAGCGTCGAGGTAATGCTGGCAATAACGCGCTATTCTCAGGGTAAAAGCTACATCTATATGTATATGCATATATATGTATGTATATACAGCGGGTGCTCTAAGAAACCGAGTGAAAGGCAACAATGCGAAGGCGAGCGTTCGCACGTACACACGTACACATAAATACACGATCGAGCACGTGCGCAACTATCGACGCACACGAATCTATGGAAAGAAAAAAAAAAAAAAACGACCCCCCACTATCGCGAAACCGTGTCTCATATAAATACAGAGAGTCTTCGCGTTCATGATAAAATTACACGAGAAGGCAAGTGATGAGATTCACACGAACGAAAGAGAGAAAGAGAGGATGGGAGGAGAAGGAGGATACGACGTGGCATGATATATACGTGTCAAAGTCGTATGTTTCTATGTATCGGGGAGGCCCCATCGATGATCGTCGCGCACGTATCGTGCTCGATCGTGCCGTGCATCGCTGCTACATATGAAATCGCATTGTGTATGCACGTACACACGGACAATACAGATGCACATTGCGCTGCGCCTGGCCTGCCTGCTGCCACAATCCAGACGGGTAGGTTGTATAGAGAAGGCCTGAGCGGAGACTCGGTTCTCCCTGAGTGCGTCAGTCGCGACAAGGACGTCCGCTAAACGGCGAATTATACTGGAATAATCGCTCCGCGTTCCTAGCACCCGTGGCCCCGGAACGGAAAATAAAGAAAGATGGAAAAGATTGTCCAAGTGTCGCGATCGATTATTTCGGGGTAACATCGAATGGGTTTTCCTTTGTTCCTTTATCGCTCAGTAAAATATACACGTAAATATAAGTACTCTGAAAAAACGTACTAAATCTTAACACATTTTTCTTTGAATAGTCACAAGTATCAAAGAACAATCCTAGTTTATTAAAAAAAAACTGCATCTTTTCTTTTCCAAGAAAAAAAATGGATTCAATCCAATCGTTGAGAATTGAGATGTTGTAAGAAATAATTGAACATAAGTAAATAAGTATGTACTAATTCATAGTGACTATATATAACTGAAATATTTATGTGCTATTGGAAAATTGCAGAGATGCATTCTGCTGTATTCTCCGGGGATTCGCGAAATGACGTTCGTGACAAGTCGTCCTTAAGAGATAAATTTCCAGACAACGATGTCGAATGCAGGCGGCCCTAAGGCATTATCTAGTCCCAGCTACTTGTACAAAGGTCAACGGTGACGCATTGATCTTCGAGATTTTTAATAGTGGAAGATTGTCAAAGGTCAACATAAAACAAGTGTTAACATCTCAATGGTATGAATGGAGAAGTGAAGAGAAGAATGAATAATACAAGTCAAAGATTTCCAAGAAATTTTTTAATTGCAGAATTCATTCTACGCCTCTCTGTGTGTGTATTTCCCCAGTAATTCTTTTAGATTCAGTAACGAGTCAGACTCATTTTCCATCGACGCGAGTCTCAAGGATTAATTACGATATTGCGATTCGAGATTAATCACGTAAGTAATACGTGATAAAAAATCAATTCGAAATTTCAGTTTAACGAATCTAAGATGAAGAAATGTATGAACGTTCTGCTTTAATTTTTCTTTTCGATCGATGGAATCTATTTTCTAGCTCTATAAAGCTAGCAGGAGCGAATCAGCAGAATTAAATCGGACCTATCAAAATTGTTAGTACTCATTTTGTACTAAATTGTACCATTAATGATAATTTTGTACCGTTTGCCATTTCGAAAAAAAGCAGCGCCACGATTTTTTTCGAAATGGTACACGGTACAAAATTATTATTAATGGTACAATTTCGTAGAAAATTTCGATAGGTCCGATTTGATTCTGCTGATTTGGTCCTGCTAGCTTTATAGAGCTCTATTTTCTTGGTCTTGGAATTGACGACAGACTCATCTTGTAGAATTTGACTTGGTACGATCCGTTGTAATACAGGCGAACAACGACCACACCCGAGAGCAAGGGGAAGTCGATGAAGGACGAGGAGAGCAGGTCAATTACCTCCAGATCACTGAGAGAGATTTCGTATCGACAATCAGCCGCTGCTGTAGTTAAGGGAACGCCAGTGGCATATGGCAGTTACGTGGTGCAGCACTCTTTTTAAGTACCGTCCACCAATCCGAAGGTCGTTTTTTCGAACATAAACAATTCAACGGAGTCGTGCACCGATGGGTAAGTTTTTATCAAACGGATAAAAAAGGGTGGTTTCATCAACTTCGATTAACTGCAATCTTAGTTAAATTTGAGGTAATATCTAACTGGTAGCTGACATGATAAATTACACGAATTTATTGTAATTTTAGATTGTAGAGACAGAATATATATTTACATACTCAATGATAATTTTAAAAAACATTTACTATCAGCTCGACAACTTATACTAATTACGTGCCTAAAGTTTTGTTCCCTCATATTATATTTGATCCAATTAAATTTTGAAAAATGTTACAATTAAGATGCTATAATTAAATTTAAGATTTAATAGATACGAATTAAGCTAAAATGACATAAAATAAGTTTGTGTTTATATCTTTCTATTATACATTGCAAAAGTATCGATCAACAGAGTTTAGGAAGGTTTAAGAGACTGATCGGTGGCGGCAGCGAGAGAAAATGGTGTATAACCTTGCTCGGACGACCTCGATCGCCTTCACCGAGGAAACCTCCGGTGTGTGGAGCCGTGACGACACATGTACACACAAACACACACACACAAACACGTGATCTTGCGACCACTCGGCTGGCTGGGAGATCGAGCTCTTGACGTCGGTTGCACGGAATCGTGCTACCGTCGCGAGATCTTTTTCGCGTGATACGTCCCGTCATCGTCATGATGGTCACGCGTAGATATTCAAATAGACGAGTAAAAATTTGTAATTCGGATATGTAGCAAGCTACATCTACAAAATGTGGAAAAAATAGATTTCTTCAGCTTGCAGCTATAAAGCCAAGCGAAATAAAATATTACTAAATAAAATAATTTAATAGCTGTTTGCGTCGGTAAATTAAGAGAAGAAAAATGCCGACGTGAGTCGACGAAGCACTCGCACACCTCTCACTCTCACTTTTTTTTTCGCCGAAAGAAAATTTCACCGTTCTTCTCTCCTTCGCTTTATAACTCCCTCCATTCCTACATTCTATAGAATATATTTTAAGTAACCAGCGAAATCCGGTTCTTTTACCCACGATCTATTTTGACCGCAGAAATTTTTAGGACGAATGTACAGGTTGATTCATAAAGATACGAGTGTATAAGATTAAGAGGCCATTTACAATGAAAATAATATTGTGTAGTAAGCCATAAGCCTATCCTTAACCCTCCTTAAATTGTTTTTTTTTTAATAATTTGTTCGCTAGAAATGTGCAAACAAAAATTCGAAATATGCAAACGATAAACAATCAAATTAGAAAGTTAATTTTTTCAAAAGTGGTAGCCCCAATCTCACACGGGTCATTGAACTCTTATCTCATATCTTCGTCTTGCGATTAATAAGTAAAAAAAAAATCATTAATGATTTATCATGTATACTGAAAACAAATTTACTAAATTTTAATGAATATTTTTTTATTTAAATAATATTAACTAAACATTTACCTAGTACAGTAAATATTTATTCAATAAAAGAATGATATTTAAATCAAATTAATAATTCTTGCCAAATAAATATTACATTTGGTAAATATTTAGTTAGTACTATTTAAATAAATATTTATTAAAATTTAATAATTCTTTTTTTTATTGTACTAATGTTACAGCAATTTAAGGAAACACGATAATTTAAGTGTAATACAGTTAATAATTTTGGCAAACGTTATAGACATATGCTATTTTTTAACAAACAAGATGGAAAACATTTTCTTTTTTTTAGCGGAAAATTTAAAATCTTGGTATCTATGTTTGCGATCCGCGAACGTCCTATTATCTCTAATCTTTTGTTATCTTTCCGTGCTCGCGCATTATCGACCAACCGACGCGTCGGATTCTCAATGTCGTAATTCCTTCATATGGTAGACATATGATTTTTGGGGAACAGGAAAAAAACACATTGCTTTTACTCACCCCATCATTTCCTAGGAACTGTATATTAGGTTTTTCGCCAATCTTATGCTGAAACAGAAAAAAATCAAGGTTAATTATTGCCTTCGTAAATATGGATGGAATGCAAAGCAAAGCCAGCAATTAAAGAATAATAAGTAAAAAAAGTTGTTAATAATCATAAGTAAAAATTAGATCGATAAGAATAAAAATCAAATAAGAGAAACAATCCTGTGTTCAACCAAATCTTGATTTAATAATACATGCATATATAGATTTACAAAAACATTTATAAATACCCTGGCTGAAGTAATATTATTTGCAATAAATTCTTTATAGTGTTTTGAGATCATTATTAATTTGACGATGTAATTTGTGATGTTACTTCCACATTCAGTTTATGATTGCGTTTTGAAATCCGACAAATTAAATCAACGCGCAGTTTATGGAACTGAAAAATGTATATGTAAATCTATATATGAATATTATTAAGTACCAAGATCCAAAAACAACATTCTTTTATTAGATTAAATTCTGTTACATATACACACACACACACACGCTTAAATTTTTTTGTGTTACGCAAAAAAGTACTTTTAGAAATGCAGAAAATTATGACACATTGCGAAAGAATATCAAATGTTTTGCCACATGAATAAATCTCAGGTTGATAAAATACGTGGACGAGGACTAAAGAACGAAGTCATGTCGTAGAATTCCGGTCGCGGACGTTTATCGTGCAAAGTGTTACAACAGTCAATACGAACGTGGGATCGATTAGCGTAATTACCTATCGCTCGTCCAACTTACAAGTCATACAAGCAACGAGCGACTGGTAATTGGCGAAGCGAGCGCGTGCGATCGTACCCGCATAGAGACGAGCGTAAAATGCGATGTTTTGCGACCGCGTGAAATTGCGGTGCATGATCTCGTAATCGCGCGGCGAGTTGCATTATATCGCGCGGATAGGCGGGCGGTGATTTTTGCGTGTAACTTTTACATACGCGCCTCTGTCTCTTGGTGATAGCTTGGAAAGGGAAAGTATCGTTGGTAAGAGCTTCGTCCAAACCCTGCTTCTCATTGTTGTTGATGGCCACCCACGGATAGAACGATTTTGCTAAAAGAATTTTGTTAGACCATCAAAATAATTTTATTAGAAACTCAAATCATCGATTGCTAAAATACCAAAATTTTTTGCAACGTTGCTCATCAAATTTCCAATACGATTATTTTGGTGGTCTAACAAGACCATTTTCAGATCTGTATTTGGCTAAATTTTAAATTATTCAGCAAGCTCTGAAAAAAATAATTTTATTGGAAATTCGAATCGGTTGCTAAAATAGCAAAAATTGTGCAATCATTTGCAAACACTGCTCATCATTTTGAGTTTCCATTGTAATTATTTTGATAGTTCATCAAGATTATTTTCAGACCTATATCAGCAAAATTTTAGATCGTCTAGCAAGATCTGAAAATAATGTTATTTCGAAATTCAAACCGGTCGTTGTATCAAAATTTTTTGCAGCACTTAATAATTTTTTCCGATATAATTATTCTGACGGTCTAACGAAATTATTTTTAAATCTGTATCCAGTAAAGTTTTATCTTTCGGCAAAGCCGTTCTTTCAATACAGAAACACAGAAAGGATCCGAAAGAATGATAACTTTCTCGCATTTATTACAGATCGATTTTAGATAATTTCAAGTCAGTCTGTCTTTCACAAGAGTGTCGATACACCAATACATCTTATCTCTAACGATCCGTTCATATTACCAATCGGAGAAGAAGCATTTCGCTTTTACATATCCCGCCATGTCCATCGATTCTCATTAGACTCACATTAGACTTTATGATTTGCTAATGCTATCGCCTGTACAGCGATGCAATACGATATTTGTACGAAGTTTACGCAGTTTCAGCTCATCGTCGGCTCGAAGCTTGTCAGAGGAAAACGTGTATCTGTACACCTATGTATGCGCGAGTGCGGCGGGCACACGAGAAAATTAATCGCGTCGCGGAAGATCGCGTTTACTCGAGCGCGCTGGGTCGACCAGGATTGACCTCCGAGTATAACGGCGCGCTGCAAGAGTGTGCCGGAGCTCGCAGGTGAAAAATCATTTCCTTCTTTCCCGCGGCGATCGCGCAAGGAATATCGCCCAGTGTGATTTCACGTACTTTCCTTTCCAATCCTTTAACGTGTAAAACACTTTAATAACCGTGTGCAAACTCTTCTTTGATTTTCTTTCAAAGGTAGACTCGGGAAATCTTGAACGCCCACGTTAATTTGCGAAAAAAAAAAACATTTCCAACTAATTTAATGCGAATGACTAAAAGCGAAATCTCTCGCGATAGCAACGAAGACTCGCGGATCTAAAATTGTACAAAATAGTGCAAATTGCGGAAAAGATCGCATATCTAAAATGGACTCTACAATTGTCGTGTTTAATTCTCTCTCTCTCTCTTTCGCGTTCTAGATCTGTGTCGATGTACGGAGTGATATGCTTTCACTGATCCGACGATAATTCCTCATCGTCGAGGAACTTGGAGACTGACGATGGCTCGCGGTTACATTGGTTACACTTTGGTGGCTGGCAGAAAAAGCGACGGTGGTATTAGACGGTGGCCGAAAAGTCCATTACGGTCACGCTGCGACGAGGATTTTACGACCGACTCTGTCACGCTTGCATGACAAACAGAGTGTCTCGTTGTAGATCTTCTACGGTGTGTGAGTGTGTATGAGGCAGGAGTATCCACGGCGTAATGCGGCGGGCAATTATATTTCCACGGCGTGTTACATAAACGCGACGAAATAATCAAGCGTCGTCCCGCTCGGTCGCTTTCACTCAATAAAGGGATCCATTACAGTTTTAATTATTCTAATAACTGCCTCATTCTCTCTGTGCTATTTGAAAGTACACATCAAATCGCATCGTCATTCTCAACATTTCCACTCTATGCAAAGAAATGGAATGGCATAGCGAATCTATTTAAAAACACGAGTCTCCTAAATATGTACCTCCGAGGAAATATTTTTAGAGCAAAGACTGTTACTGTTCAGCAAGAGGGTTCGACAGGAGACACAAGGCACACGCAGCAGGGAACCTGAAGGACACTCTCAGAATTAACAAGAATCGTCAACGTAGGTACATTGTCGTATAATGTTAATAGAACAAAGTATCTTCTTTTTTAAAAGAGAATTTTTCTCCCCCGTATATCAAAGTGAAGTTTCATCGTCATTTATTACCACTATATCGATGCGGGTCGTTAGTCTCATTAGTAGGAAATACGAGAGGTGGAAAGGATAAAAAGATGATTTTCAGAGAAAAGAAGATTTAACGTCCGCGATCAAATTCATTTATGAGAATATTTATGGAACGTAATGAATGATGGTATTAGACTTGGGAGATAATATTTTAAATTTGCAATCTTAACACATGATCTTTAAGTAGGTAGATGATTTAAAATGCACAAGTTGATAAATGGGATGCTTAAAAAAATCCTAAAAAAATTTAATTTATAGTTCTACTTTTTACTAGTGCATTATATTGTATATTTGAAAAAGAATCTGCTATTAAGGAATTTTTTAACATGGACAAATCAAAATTCTTTGGTTGACTTTATTATAATTTCTAGTTGAGATAACCAGAGTTTTCATTGGTATGATTAGAATTTTCTGATTCGTCCATTTTCAACCAGAAATTTTTCTCAGTGTAGTTAAATTTACATTAATTATTCCCTTATAAGATAGAGGAATATAAAGATAATGAACTTTAAATCTTCCGAGCATCTGGGCAATACTTTTTTTCTCTTTTTTCAGAACAAAGTTTTAAAGAAAAACTATACCTGAGGTGTGCTGTGATCATCCGACTTATCATAATTAAAGATTAACGTCGGAAGAATAAGAACATAAACGTATAATATAGTTGTATAATACGATAATGCAGCTCATATTGTTGTAGCATACAAAAATTCAAGACATAAATGGATATAAAGTCTTTGTGTATAGCTTTATCGATTAAAGAGCGAATGGCTGATTCTTTTCTATGTTCTGCCTCGACAACGAGACGTCTCGTGCGCCACGCAAACGACCTCGGGAAAGTTCTTGCCAGCCATTCCTCCCGAACAAGAGAGCCTCCTCGTCGGCAGGTCAATAACTCTACGTCCTGAGTACAACCCCTGATTCTCCTCGTCTCTTACGCATCGCATTCTCACCCCCGACGGCGGCGGCGGCGTCGGCGTCGGCGGCGTCGGCAGCGACCCTTTATCCCGTTCTCTACCAAAATTGGATTTCTGAGCCCATCGCGTTAACAATAGCTCGCCATACATCTTAGTTCTCAGTCTACGCGAGTTATCCGCGATTAATTATTTGTTCTCTCGTTCATCTCGCGTTCTATCGATTCGCTAACTGCTGATACATTTCGATTACCAATTAATCATAGGCGACATGCTAACTATGTGTTTACGTGAATTTTCTTCTTATCATAATCATGTAGCAACGCGTTTCTCCCCGACTCGCCAAGCCACCATGTTATCAATCGTTTATCGCTATATAGCGCCACATCAATTCCATCGATTTCGATAGGGACGTTGATTACTTTCTAACAACAAGTTAAAATCGTGAATCATCACTAACGTGACGCTAGCAACTTGATTATGAGAAACAGAAACGATATTCCGAAACGTGTTCTTCGTCCAAATACGAAAAATAGACGTCTCTGTTTAGAAACACTTTGTCTCGCACGCGATCGAGAACGAATGAAAAAGCAAGAAATTCGTGTTGCGCACTGTAATATTGTGCATGCGTGCGATTACGCAAGCGTACACATTTTACATCGCAGCCTGATATTCCACCGCTGTAAGACGGCTATTCTACGATATTTCGAAGACACTTGAAAATATCCTTCCATCGAATTGAGAATAGCGAGAGAAATACTTTTCTCAGTTAAGACATTCTTAAAACACTTTTCTCAGTTAACATTTGAATATATTCCGTTCTTAAATCCAGTCTCATATAAATATTGCAATTTCGTGGCAATTATTATTATTGAATAACAAACGTGTATACTAAATT